CTTGTCCCACTCTGTTCCGTCCCGTCCCACGTACCAAACGGTACCTAATGGATCTAGAAGGTAGGTAGTTTTCGTCAACTAGAAAGAAGTACTTTGATGAGACAATGTTGACCTTAAATATCTTAAAGTGCGTTCATTAAAGAAAAGCTAGGCAGCAATGTTTGCACTGATTCTCGAATGACCTAGGTTTTATATATTTGAATGCAAAGTGAATGGTAAATCATGATCTTTAGTTTTAAAAGGTTCTATCAATATATATACTTTTCAGACCTTATCTTATGTGGATGATAATTTTTCATTGGAATTCTTTTTTTGGGGTGTTGCAAATCAAAATAGAAAGAAACGAAGTTACCCGGAAAATGTAGAAGCCTCGAGTGATGAATAATTATTGGAATAAGTCGCAGACTAAGTTGCTCTCTTTAAGACATTTTGCGGCTCTGCCCAAAATGTACAAGCAGTTCACAAATGCCACGTCGTCTTCATGATAAAACAGTCCATAACCTTCTTCTGATAAGATTCTTCCTAGCACAATGGAAAAACCTTCGAACTTGCACGGTACAAAGCTCGGCTAGTAGCAAAAGGGTTTCATCAGCAACATGGACTAGATTATACAGAGACATTCAATCCAGTTGCTAAGCCTGTCACTATCAGGTTACTTCTTACTATGACAGCTAAATTCGATTGGTTTTTCAATCAATTGGATTTTAGAAATGCCTTCCTGCATGGAAATATCTCAGAATCTGTGTTCATGGTTCAACCCCCAGGATTTGAAGATCTCACCAAGCCAAGTTATGTTTGTCAACTTCACAAATCATTGTATGGACTTAAACAAGCTCCTTAGGCCTGGTATGACAAGCTTCATACTACTCTTTCTTCACTTGGGTTTCCTGGTTCACAAAATGATCATTCCCTCTTTGTTAAAAAGGATCCTACCTAGGTGTTCATTCTAGTATATGTTGATGATATACTAGGTACAGGTCCTGATCCTCAAGCTTGTAAAGCTACAATCTCTTAGCTTAGTTCGTTGTTTTCTATCAAAGATTTGGACCCCTTCACTATTTTCTTGGCATTGAAGTCAAAAGGTCATCCTCTGGCATTTTTATCTCTCATACCAAATATATCTTGGATATGCTTCAAAAAGCCAAAATGGCTGATGCAAAACCCTGTGCCACTTCTCTTAGTACTTCATCTTTGGATCATGACTCTCCATTATTATCAGACCTTGCTGAATATCGATCACTTGTTGGTGGATTGCAGTATCTCACTTGGTCTAGGCCTGACCATTCATTTGCAGTCAACTTGGTGTGCCAATTTATGCATCAACCAAGAGAATCACATATCCAAGCTGTAAAGAGAATTCTTAGGTACCTGAAAGGTACTCTTGAACTTGGTCCCTGGTTTCCTAAAATTGCAATATCTCTCAGCATCAATGCATTCTCTGATGCTGATTGGGCAGGCTGCCACTTAGATAAAATATCCACCAGTGGTTTCTGCATCTTTCTAGGCAATTCTCTAATTAGATGGAGTGCTAAGAAACAGTCCACTGTGGCTCGATCTTCAATTTAAGCTAAGTATAGGTCTCTGGCAAATTCTGCTGCTGAGATTACATGGATTTACAAGCTCTTAGTTGGCATTGTTCTGCAACTTCCTTCCTTTCCCAAGCTCTGGTGTGACAACATCTCAACAATTCAGTTAGCTAAGAATCCTGTCTTTCATGCTCGAACCAAGCATGTTGAAATTGACTATCATTATATCCGTGATAAGGTTTTATCCAAAGCAATTTCAGTCCACTTCATCTGCACACAGGACCAAATTGCTGATATTTGCACAAAATCTTTGTCCAAAGCTCGATTTCAGCTTCTTAGACACAAACTAGCCCTTCGTCATCCTCATTTTAGTTTGGGGGGGGGGGATATTAAAGCTAATATTGTCAAAGATAAAACTTAGAATATAGTTAGTTTTATCTTGTGGTGTAATTAATTAGGTGAGCTGTCATTTTCATAGGTTTATTTGGTTGTATATATAACCATCAGTTGTAATCTTATTGATTAAAGAAATGCAATCATAAGTTTTCTACAAAAAATTACTCTTAATGACATTTATCTCTATTAATTAATAAAACCCTATTTGTCAACTGAAAAAAGGCAAAAAGACAACTAGTTTTCTATCATACAAAAAAAATGATGGGCAATAATGTAATTTCACAGGTTCAAATTTTACTGTTTTTTATTAAAGCATCACCTACAGGTAATATTATACAAATGTGTTCATACACACAAAGTGTGTAGGTAAATGTTAGTATATATTTAATATTTCTAATAAAACAAATCATAAATAAATAAATATATTTAATATTTCCAATTTAAAAAACTAGGGTTTTTTTTTTTTTTTTTTTTCTGTCAGCTAATTTGGGAATGGTGACTACCTTACTCAATGGGTGAGATTGTGTGTGTTAAAAGAGATTGGGCATCTACAGAGCCATGGAAAATCCCCAAGTCCAGTTTTGATTTTTCACTCTTTTCATTTTCTTTTTTCCTTGCAGATTCGTGAAAATGATTGGGATTACAAAGTTGAATCTCTTCCGTAAGTTTTCAATTTTTTTATGTTGGCTTTGTATTTGTCACTGATTTTGGTATTTTAGATTGCTTTTTGGGGAATTTGAAGTTACCCAGAAACTCCAATTGCATAATTTGTGGATATAATTTGTTGATATAATCTTAAATATGCTTTGGTCCTTTTCAATTCACATAATTTGTTGATATAATCTTTTTTTATTTTTTATTTTCTATTTTTTTATATTTTCAAGATATGGGATTTGATCGAAATATGTGATTTTTATAGTAAGGCTATGAAATTTTACTAAATTATGCTTCAAGCTAGGAAATTTACTTAACTGCGTGTTTTACTACTATGTTTACATACTATATACAAGAGCAGGAGATGGAAATCGAAGCGTTGGAAGAAAATACTTGCGGATGACTTCAAAGGTATCTGCTATGTGGTGCTTCTGCAGACCAACATTTGTTATAAAATTTGTTATCTGTTTTCATTTTTTATTATCACAAGTGGTGAATGTTCTTTTCTGTTGTTTTCGATATGCCAGAAATACATTCGGATATATATGCGTTTCATTTAGTGGTTTGCATTACTAATATCAATTCCCTGTCTACATTCAAAGGCATCACCTTTTTATTCCTACTTTAGAACAAAACTCTAATTAATAAAAGTACAAACACGTTGATGAGAAAATATTATTTTTGACGGATGAAACATAAAATTGACGTTTTGGGAGACTTCACATGAGATAAAACTTTACATTTTTCGTACTTGAGTGATTTCAACGCCATCGTGATCAATAGTAATCATGTACTTGCTTTTGCTTTCCAAACGGTTGGAGAAAAGTGTTGGATTATGTCATGGAACCTTCAGGTGGAGTTTTTTTTTTTTTCACGGTAAGTAGAATATAAAAGGAAGGTCATGCCCAAAGACTTACGTACTAAGGAAAAACACCAGAAACAGAGACGGGAAAGCATAGAAATGGTACAACAAAAATAATAGCAAAACGTGACTGCATGAAGGGTAAGTGACTTCAAGTAAAACTTCAGTCTCGACCCCATTTCTAAAAACCAAGCCCCAGAGAAAGATGGGATAGGGTTAACAGTGCAAAAGGAAGTATCATCGCCTTCGGATTTGAAATCAACAGACGAATATGGTATACACAAGTTTGATGTGGAGTGTGTAGAATAATTCGGGGTCCCCGAATCGTAAGCGATTTTTTTTTTTCATTCATTCATTCATTGATCGATTCAAGGTAGTTGTAGCTTGCTTCCAAGTTCAAGTGCTAGCGATAGAATAGGTAGAACACTATGACACGATGACACGATTATAGCACAACACTATGACACGATTATCTAATATGCCTCACCAAATGTCACTGTCTGTTTTGTCCATGCATTTTTATGTCACCCATAAATGAAATAATCCCCTTTTTATGATCCTTGAAGTCAATTCATTCACCCACTATAAAAATCAAATGAGTAAAAAACATATTATATGTGTCTTTATTGTTCTGTTTTCTATTTGGTACTCATATGTGACACGCATCCTTACTTCTTTATTGTGAATACTCTTCATTTCATGTTATATATTTTCTTGCCAAAGAGTAAATAGGTAGAAAAATTAAACATTTGTATGTGGCTTTATCAAGAGGAGTTTCAGCATCTACAACAAAAGCCTTGGTAAAGAAAGGAGATTTACACTGTCACGAAGGAGTCTTCACAAGAAATGTTGTGTACAAAGATATTTTGCTTCCCTTGAATTCAACATAAGGTTACATTCTTTCTTATAATGTTTAATTCCTTTTTTCAACTTTTAATGCAATTCAATTACAAATAATGCTAATATTTGATTTTAACTAAATGCATTAAATTTTCAACAGGACGAAACGATATGAGTTCATGATATGTTTTGATGTCAAGTGTGTCAAGGTTAATTGAAGTTTTTGGACTGTTTTTATACTTTTTATTCAGCTTTTAGTTGCAACTAAATTATTAGGATCTTCTCTGTTATTTATTACTTTTTTTTTACATATTCTAGACAAAATACTTTATATTCCTGCATGTATTATTAGAGATGATAATCGCCTTTATTTTATGTTTCTATACATTAAATCAATCATCGCATATAAATACATCTAAAATGTGTAAGTCACGAGTTGGGCACCGTGATTAAAAAAATTGAAAGAGCTGCCCCTTTCAACTTTATCCCTAAGTAAAATTGAAAGAGCTGCCCCCTTCAACTTTATCATAAAATTGAAAGAGCTGGCCCTTTCGACTTTATCCCTAATTAAAATTGATTTTCCAACTGATTCATGGAAACAAAAATCAAAGACTGGCAAAGTAAAAAGTGAAAAACTTTCCTAACGCACGTAAAAAGCTTTCACCTCCTCCTCGTCCCTTTTCTTCCTATAAATACCCTTCCTTCCCACCTAGTCCCACACACCATCTCCTCTCTCTCACTCTCTCTCTCTCTCTCAAAATCCCAGCTTCGAATCCATGGCTCGATTACCATCATCATTTTTAATTTCTGTGTTGATCATCCTGTGGCTACAAACATCAGGTAATAATCTCTAATCCCAATCAAATTCCCAGCTTTCTTACAATTTTGTTAATTGGTGTACTAATTTTGCTCTGTGTTATTAACCTGCAGATGTTGTTGCAAGGACATTCACAATGGAGAACAAGTGCGACTACACAGTGTGGCCGGGAATTCTCACCAACGCCGGCGTCTCACCTCTTCCTACCACCGGCTTCGCCCTCGCAAATGGCGAAACGAAAACTATCTCCGCCCCAGCTTCTTGGGGCGGCCGCTTCTGGGGCCGAACCCTCTGCTCCCACGACTCCGTCGGCAAATTCTCCTGCCTCACCGCCGACTGCGGCTCAGGAAAATTAGAATGCTCAGGCAACGGAGCCACCCCGCCCGCCACTCTCGCTGAGTTCACACTTGACGGCGCCGGTGGGCTTGATTTCTTCGACGTCAGCCTCGTGGACGGGTACAACCTCCCTATGCTGGTGGTCCCCAATGGCGGCACTGGGACCAACTGTACGAACACCGGCTGCGTTACCGACCTCAACACCAGGTGTCCTTCCGAGCTCAAGGTCACCAGTGCCGACGGAGCTGAAGCAGTCGCGTGCAAGAGCGCGTGCGAGGTGTTCGGCCAGCCGGAGTACTGTTGCAGCGGCGCGTACGGTTCTCAGGACACTTGCAAGCCCTCTCAATATTCTCAGATTTTCAAGAGCGCGTGCCCGTACGCATACAGTTACGCTTACGACGACAAGAACAGCACCTTCACATGCGCCGGTGGCGACTACACCATCATCTTCTGCCCATCGCCTAGCACCAGGTAAATTTACAGAATTATCTTTTACATTCTCCCACCTCACATTTTCACGTCAAATTTCATATTAATATTATAAAATATTATACTAAGGTAGGTGGTAGAGAATCTTGTGTCAGCCACCAAAGAATGAGATATTCTTCCTTCCAAAAAAAAAAAAAGAATGAGATATTCTTTAAATTTTTAAATCGTGTTCGTTGATCGTACACATTTTAATTTTTATCAAATATTATTCATATTTAATTTTAAATAAAAGTATTAAAATGATTTCTAACCACACACAGTTTTTATCAAATATTATTCATATTTAATTTTAAATAAAAATATTTAAATGATTTATAACCGTACAATATATGATAAAAAGATATGATTTAAATATTCTCATGATCCTCACAAAGAGGATTTGGAGAGAATCCTAGTTCCTTATAGAATTCTACATGCGGTCTCTGACGCCGGAGCAAAACGCAGATCCTGATGCTCTTTTGGGAATCTAGAGATCCGATTCCCTTTCTTAATTAATTAAAACTCAACACACACTCCAAAACTCGTCACATTATTTTTGCAACGGTCCATTATTTACATTTTTCATGGTATTTATTTTTGTAACTGTAATTGTACTGACTGGGAATATTGTGCAATTTTACAGTGAGAAAGAGTCACAGAACAACACACAGCCGCAGCCGACAAGTACACCGCTATCGGCAACCACCTCAACCTCGCCGCAGGAGATAAACAACACAATGAAGTACGAATGTGGCTCAAACGATTCATTTTCGGAAGTGTCGATTCACACATGGATCCATATGTGTCCGTAACATGGACCCAAACCCAATTCAGGTCGTGAACCCTTCAACTTTCCTTTTTTGACCATTTTAATTTTGCGGCCGTGGTCAAATTATATGAAGGAATAATGGGATGAGGATAATGTAAATAATAAAGCTTTTAGAATTTTGATTATTCAAATATGTGGATGGTTATGCATAAGATGTCCTTAATCATTCACCTTCTTTGTGTTTAATATTAACGTTTGAGAAGTGATTTTCGCAATCCCTCTCTATCAATCACCACATTTTATATTTTCATGAAAAATTATGTCAATTATCGCAGTTTCTTTTGACCAGATTTTGTGCATCAACAACGTTTCTATATTTTCACGGACATGTATTCATAATTATAGTTTGGAGATTGTGAGTATACATGATGGCTAAACTAATTATGTTAGAGTTTGCAATGACCCTATCATCGGTAATAAATCCCCTAACTAACTTATGTTGACATTATGATACATTTGCGTCATCCATGGCATTCCATGGTTATTCTTTCTTTTAATTATTTGATGTTACCATAATCCTTAGAAACAAATATCCCTATGGACTTACTTTCTCATCATAATCAAAATATACCACAAAACTAATTAAGAAGAACTTGTTTCAATTGGTGAATTGAGATTGTCAAATGTAAATTTAGCTGTCTAACTAATGCATTGGTGCATCCTACATACAAGTAAATTATAGAATTCTCAACGATGCCGTATAACAATCTTACATTAACCTCGTACAACAAATATCGTATGTGTTAAAGATTTTTTGAAATAAAATTTGTGAATTGAGTTGTAACAAGTGTCTGTTTATACAAATTCACTTTTTTGTGAAGTGTGGCTCATTTGATCACTGTAAGTATCAAATGTGTAAGCAAATAATAATAAGGTTAAGATTATATACGTGGTAGGTGGTGACTGTTGGAGGTTTCGAAGTGGCCAAAAGAGGGCGGTGTCAAGAATCAAGTAGCACACGTCGCTGCTGCGGCTGCTGCATGTGCATGTCAGCTTCCGTCCTACGCACGATGCTCATTGGCTGGCTTGGCCTGCCTAATCCACGCTACCACCACACCACACAATAATATTTCTAACCCTTAATTTTATTGATCTTACTTTATTAAATTTTTAATCATATAAATTATGTATATATAACTCACTGAGGAGCGCTGTATATTCCATTCCACTCTGGTGTGCGCCTGTGTGCCCTTTTAGTTATTTTCTGGTTCGGATCGAGAATTTTCGGCATGTGTCCAAATTAGCTTATGTATATAACATATATGTTCATGCGCGACGAGTTTCATAACAGTTATATTTGGGGCGGGATATGATAGTGATCTCGTATTTACCGTTTTATGACAACATAATGATCGTATAAAATTTAGTATTTTTGTATTTTTTGATTCAAAAATAGAATTAAGAGCGTCATCTGATCAATACATGATACGAAACAATCAATACAAAGACGCAAGTACACACACACACACATACATTGCTTCATGAACAGTGAAGCTGAATCCCCTTTATGTTTGTTGAACCGTATATTTTCACAAAGTAAAAATATATAAATAAAAATATAAAAGAAGTGGAGTAGATGTGGAGATATGTGGGGATTGCAAGTGCCTATTTTTAAGGAGTGAAAACAATATGAAGGTTGTTGATTTTTCTCTCTAAATACATGATACGAAACAATCAATACAAAGACGCAAGTCACTATATATATATATTGCTTCATGAACAATTAAGCTGTATCCCCTTTATGTGACCTGATGAACCATATATTTTCACAAAGTAAAAATAAATAAATAAAAATATAAAAGAAGTGGAGTAGAATGATAGTGACCCTAAATATCCAAATATCCAAACAGATAAAGGATAACGACTTCTAATTTTTTTGGCATGTTTAGAAGTTGTTTTTTTTTTTTTTGAAAAATGTTTTTGAGTTTCACTTTTTAGAATGCACTTATGTTTACTAGATGAGCTACAAAAACATTTTAACAAAATGCGTTTTCAGTTATTTTAAAAACAATTTTAAATGAGGTTAAAAAGAGTTATGAATTTTTTATATTTTGGTAATATAACAGTGGCAAAAGAAAATATGTCTTTCACACTTCAAACTTATTTCCATTTTTTGAAGATATTCTTATTAGTTTATACTATTTATTTCTGGCCTCTGAAAGTGATGGATAATCGTGGCTTGCCATTAGTTGTCTCTTTAAAAAAAAAACAATTTTTTTTTATTACACTCATTGCAATTATTATAAATAAAATCATTGGTATTAAAGTAATTTACACAGAAAAAATTGGATGTTTAGTTTCTTTCTTCATTCACATATCATTACAGCATATAGAGTTCCTAATTTATAAAAAAATTACAATAAAATTTCCACATTTCTCTCCGGCTTCTTTCTTTCATATATATTTTTAAATCTTTTATATTTATACACAATGTGGAGGGTGGTGTCGTCGACCGACGTTGTCTCGATCTTGGGTGTGTGGCTGTGTGTAGGTTTGGGGAGAGGGAGTGAGAGTGTTCGCGAGAGAGTGACTCGGGGCAGAAGAGAGAGGGAGATAGGAGGTGGGGATGGTGCCACGTGGCAAGCAGAGAGAGAGAGAGTGAGTGTTATAAAATAATAACATAAAATCTAAAACGGGAAGCGGGATCCGGATAGGGTGATGGATAGGGGGCAAAATGGTAATCTCATAATTCCTGTTAATATGAAAGCACAATTAATTTAGGGCGGGGTTTCACATAGGCTCTAATGCATATTCACTATGTTCTACAACAATAGGTTCATAAATTCTAGAAGAATTAGAACCCCCACTATTTCAAAGATTAAAAGGAAATTTATTCTCATAAAAAACAGCATCAAGTCACTCAATTATAACACGATTTTTCAAATCATAAAATCTATATGCTTTGCAATTACATGCATAACCAATAATGAGATTCTAGAAGGTCAAATGGGGATCTAATATTCGTTTTGTTGCCATCTTACGTTGCTAATGATGATATTCTAGAAGGTCAAATGGGGATCTGAGGTTGCTAATCGAATTATTGACCAACGCAACATGGAGTAAAAAGCTTTCACGTGTTCCTCTGCCCTTTTCCTCTATATTCTTCTCTCCCGTCTTTGAAAAAAAAAAAAAAATTTAGTTGTGTGAAATTAAATTTTTTATTTATGTTCTATTTTAATTAGAAGATTAAACTGGTAATTTTATAAAATTTTGGTTGACAATTAATGTTTTATTAATTAGTGGAGATTTTTTTAGATCTTTTATATTTACACACAGTGTGTTGGTCATCTCGGTCCATCTCATTTTTTATGAAATTTTTTAGTTGAATTGAAAGAGAAATTAATTGCCCTTTTAATTATTATCATTAATTAAATTGACAAATGCTACTATAAAACGGATTTGGATCCTCTCCGGATTCCCTCCCTGGGGATTCCGGGGATCAAGGCATAAGGACCGTTCATCAAAGATCGTGCGGCCACAATTAAATGCTTTTTACGCAAAACGAGATTGTTTTACTTTTAAAAATATAAAAAGCATTTAATTGTAACTGCATGATCTTTGCTGAACGGTTTTTGTGCCTTGATCCCTGAAATCCGCAGGGAGGGGATCCAGAGAGGATCCAAATCGCTATAAAACGATTGAGTCGGCAAAAATATCGTTTCCCATGGGCTTTTGACACCACAGAAAAATTAAAATAATATTTCTAACCCTTAATTTTATTGAACTTATTTTATTAAATTTTTAATCATATAAATTATATTTATATAACTGACTGGAGCGCCGTATATTCCATTTCACTCTGGTGTGCGTGTGTCGGTGTGTGTGCCCTTTTAGTTATTTTCTGGTTCGGATCAAGAATTTTCGGCATGTATTCAAATTAGCTTATGCATATAACATATATGTTCGTGCGTGACAAGTTTCATAACAGTTATATTTGGGATGGGATATGATAGTGATCTTGTATTTACCATTTTATAACCACGTAATGATCGTGTAAAATTTAGTATTTTTATATTTTTTGGCTAAAAAATATAATTAAGAACGTCATCTGATCAATACATGATACGAAACAATCAATACAAAGACGTAAGTGTGTGTCTATATATATATATATATCTCGCTTCATGAACAGTGAAGTTGAATCCCATTTATGTCAGTTGAACCATATATTTTTACAAAGTAAAAATAAATAAATAAAAATATAAAAGAAGTGGAGTAGACGTGGAGATATGTGGGGATTGCAAGTGCCTATTTTTAAGGAGTGAAAACAATATGGAGGTTGTTGATTTTTATCTCTAAATATATATATAAAAGGGGTAATAAAATCACTTCACAATTGGAGACGTGGGTGGTTTTCTATGGGTATCCCACTGTGCAGAGTACGGGGTAGCACTCACCCACTAACCACGACTTCTGTTTCCACTGTTCGCCTATAAAAGGCATTAAGCCGAAGCAAAGGGAGGGAAGGCAAATAACTGAGAGATAGCAGAGAGGAGCATCGAAAGGAAAACCGAAACTCTGTTGAAATTCAAGAAGGTTTGCAGAAGACAAAGTGCGGAGGAAGTGAGAAGCAAGCAAGAATATCTTGTTGGATTTATTTTGATGTAAATCAACCTTAAATGGTCTACAACATATAATAGGAATGTAATATGGGAGATTAATGTAGATATTATGATTTGATTTCCTAAATATATCAATCTTATATTAGGTGTCTTGTAATACAAGTAATATTGATGAAGTCCTTGATTCTATGTGATTATGATACCTAACCGATAAGCTAAAAAAGTGAGATTTGGAATTCCTTTATGGACGGAACCCTAATACCTTAGCTAGTATAAATACTAAGGTCCTTGCAAACCCTAGATACACAACAGATGCTTCTCATAAAGTAGTTGTATCCGGTTAGGTGCTTTTTAGGAGACTTTAGTGTTACCGCATCCTACATCATTCCGCTTGGTATCTAATGATTATTGCTTCACGATCAGGTCAACCAACTCCTTATTTGTGTTTTAATTATATAACCACATAAAGTTTACATCTCTCCCAGTCATAAACGAAGATGAAGAACTCAAAGTGAGGGAACAAAGAAGTACAAAGGAAAGGTGGACGAAAAAAAGGAAAAGCAAGGACTCAAAAGGTATAAATCCATTTTTTGGGTCAATCTTTCCTTTGTGTTTTGTTTTGTTTCTCTCTACTTTGCAGAGAGAAAAAAAAGAAGCAATTTGCTTCTTTAACCTCTCCCATTCCCCCGAGCAAAAATGGAGGTGGTTGCCGTAAATTTTTAAGTG